ACATTAACTCAACAGGCAGCCCAAGCAATCCTTACCTTTAAGGCAAGGCTGCATTTTGCCACCTTTTCTGGGGGATGGCGTTTGCAATGAACTGCATCCCTAGCCCTTTACTATTTATTTATTTTTTTTGAGATGGTCTTGCTGGGCATGGACTTGTGATCCTTCTGCCTCAGCCTTCTGGATGACTGGCATTACAGGCCTGCGCCACCATGTTGGACTCTGCTCATTATTCATGAAGGCTTTGGAGAGGATTCCTCCGCAGGATGTGACTGTCCCCAGCCTAGGCTTGCCTATCTGCCCCTGCCTTGGGTCCCTTTGCTGCTCCTCTTGTAGAGTCCTGGGATTGTCCCCAGTGCTGAGAACTTGGGCCTGGACACATTCTCACGGGGACACAGGAGGGAGACTCTACAGGGCCCAGGCTCAGAGGGGCCCTCATGATGGGCATGCCTTACTGGGAAATAGACCCTTTAAAAGTCAGGGTTCATTCCAGGCCCTCAAAGTGGGCAGGTGGAGGCTGAAAGCCAGAAAAGAGAACAAGTTCTAAATGGCAGACTCTAACAGACACCAGCCCAGCATCTCCACAGCCAGTCACCTTTCCTATCTATAAAGAAACAGGACCTTGTGGGCTCCGACCCTTCATGCCTTCTCATGTGTATCCTCTTGGGGACACAGTTCTCACCGTGGTGGCCTCTCTTCTAGGGTGGGGTGGATGTGCTTGGCGGGATAGCATCACATTCCTGAGGCTCTGGGGGCTGCTTGTGCTGCTTTTGGGGTCCACACGCCAGACCCCCTGGGCTGCTGCATCACTCCCTGGGTTCTCTGCTCAGAGGGCCGGAGCAGCACAGGTGACCACAGCGACGGCGGGGAGCTGGTCCCAAGCTGCGGCCTGGCGCTTACGCTCCCATCTGAGCCTCCCACAGGGCTGTGCAGCCGTCTTTGCCAGCAGGGTCTCCACTTTACAGTGAGAAACCTGGGGCTCAGAGAGGGCACCCAGGCTTTCAGTGGACAGACATGACGTCTGCCCAGCCACACCATGGACCCACTGCAAGATTCCGGGAGTGGCTAAGCCTCCTGCAGCCTCCGTGTACCTCAGGAAACGGGGACCACAAACCCTGATTCCTAGCGGTGCTGTGAGGACTCCAGGGTGGTGACTACAGGAGCAGAGGCACACACAAAGTGCCTGAGAAGCTCCTACCAGTCCTCACAGGACGGCTACAGCAGGAACGCAGACCACAGCATGTACTACCAGTACAGATAAAGGCCCTCGCGGGCTGCGGCCTCCTCTCCTGCGCTTCCGCCTGCCCGCCGGCCAGACGATTCAGTTCGACACATCACAGTTACCACGTCAGCCGGCCCTCCGGCCGCCCCACCCGTCCACGTTGCTGTGTTGTGAGGTGCAGCGGCCCCAGCCGTGCTGTGACCCCTGTATAGCCGTGTTTGGGACTCTGTGTCTTCAGTGGTTTGTTAGTTGCCATTACAGCCTTGTCTGGGTAGAGTTTGAGTTCTTGCCGTTCGGTAACCCCGTCCTTTTACACTTGGTGTTAACGTTGACTTTGTTTGTCTTGAAATAGTTACGGAGGGGATACGTCATCTGTTAATGCTTTTGTGAAGTGAGTTAATTGAGCTTTCTGTATTTTAATGCTTTAGTGTTTCAGTTTTATAAGTGAAGATTTTATTTTTAAAACCAGTGGGAAAGACCGGGGATTTTGTATGTTTGGGTCATTCAGGCAGTAAATCTGAGTTCAGCTGAATGTAGACTAATAAAGAAAAAGTAAAGTGAAAAAAAAAAAAGTGCCTGAGAAATACTCATCCCCTTCCTTGCTCCAGCTCCACCCCGAGCACGAGACTGTCTCCCCATCATGCTCCGCCTCGCCTCCTGCTCATCCTCTTGCAGGGTCACTATTTGTCACTTCTTAGACACGCTTTGCCTGGTTGTGTGGTGGGGCTTAGGTAAAGGCTGCTTTCCCTGCGCAGAGTGCCTTTCTCACTCGCTGGCTCCAGCAGAACTCCTAGGCATCCTTCACAAAGCCCCTTCCTCTTGGGAACCTTCCTTGCAAAGGCCCTTCTGTGCTTGGGCGGAGAAAGGTACGTAGCAGGGCAACATCAGCTCTGCAGGTCACAGCACTCCACAGGGAGTGCGGGTGGGAAAGTGAGCTGTGTGCTGGCCAGGTTGACTGACACCACCTTATCAGCGTCCACATCGGCAAGACGTGCCATCTACCATGGTTCTCAGAGGCTGTGTGTGTTGACTTACTCACTTAATGTCTAAAATAACCCTCTGAGGCAGGTGCTGCTCATTGTCCCTGTTTTACTTACGAGGACACAGAAATCACCTACAACTGCACAGCTGGGAGATAGCCTGGCTGGGGAATCCCTCTCGTTAATGTGTACTTTCTTCTCCTCCTTGCCAGTGCAGGGTGGCTTGGGTGGGGCCTGCAGCACACTGTGTGCCTGCCCCACCTAAGGCACAGCCGGATGTGGGCCTGGAGTTGCCAGCTTTTCTGATTTCTCCAGAGGATCCAGCATGCAGAGCTTCATCTGACATCTCCCACATTTAAAAGTCTTAGGAATAGTTTAAAATTGTACTAGGGGCATGTGCCTCACACAAGTTGCTCACAGGTCTTCTTTGTGACCTCTTCTCTCCCTTGTATTTTGAGGTGGGTGCCTTAGCTCACCGCATTTCTGTGTCTTTGCTCAGGACCAGGCGCCTGGGAGACCCTTCGCAAGGACCCTGGTTTGGTCAGACCCCATGTCAGACTGGGCTTGCGACTCTGAGCGGAAAGATCTTCCTTGAGCCCCCTCTCAGTGCTTGGTGTTCTGACTGCGCTTGGGGTGCGGAAGAGAAACCTATGGTGCCTCTGGGCATCACCCCACTACAGGGCCACTGGGGGGTCTTGAAGACCAGACTTCCTGCTTGAGCAGAAACATTGCTTACACCACCCCATTACTCCACTTAAGGGTCTGGAGAGGGGGCCGTTACCCAGTCCATTTTACAGATGAGGTAAGCATGCACACAAAGGGGGAGGAAACCGCCTAGATCAGGAAGTGATGAAGCTGGGACTCTAACGAAGGTATCTTTGACAAGCGTCCTGGCAAACTCCGGGTGGTCCTGTCACACATTCCAAAGCAGACACTCTCCTTATGTGCTTGTCTGGGCCTGCAAACAGGGCCCTGGCACTCCACTTGGGCAGCCCGCGGTACATATGCATGCCTGTGCCTGTGTGTGTTGTGTATGTGTCCGGATGCATGTGCACACACAGTGGGTACCTGTGCACATACACAGGTCTCTGAGTGTGCAGCAACAGAGAAGGGGCCTCGTCCCCCAAATTCTGATCCTATGAAGTTCGCTCAGAACAAAGTGCAGGAAACTGAACTTCACCCAAAGAGCCTATTCATAGGAGAGTTTGTCAGACATTGTGGCTCATGCCTGTAAGCCCAGCACTCCGGGAATCTGGGGCAGGAGGATCACAAATTCAAGTCTAGCTTAGTGACTTAGTGAGACTGTCAAAAAAATATATATATAAATAAATAAATACATAAAGCCTCGGGGATATAGCTCTGTGTGAAGGCCCCAGGTTGAGTCCCCAGTGCTGGAAAAACAAAACAAAAACCAACAAAAAACCAGAAGAGTCTAAAAGAAAAATCAGTCCCAAATTTGGTGACCTACAGTATAAATAAATGGACTAGATTTATATGTAGCAATGTGGATGCTTCTGGAGGATATAACGGGGGAGGGTGTGAATGATGTGGACGGAATCATTCCTAACACACCTGCCCACCACACTCCTCGGTGTCCTGCATCTTTTCCGGGGCAAGGACGCCTGGCTGCACAGGCTTGGGAAAGACCCGCAGGAACGCCCCGCGGAAGCTGGAGGAGCCGGGTCGGAAGGTTTCTGAAGTGGAGGAGCCGGGTTGGGAAGTGGAGGAGCCGGGTTGGAAAGTTTCGGAAGAGAGGGAAAGACAGCAGGCGGGTAGGTTGGACAACTAGGGGTCTCTGCCAGCCGGGCTCAGGCAGGTCCTGGGGCTGGCAGCGCCCCTACAGCTCGCTCCGTCCCAAGAGCTGGGGGAGAGCCGTTCTTCGCTCGGACGGAACGAATCCCGCTGTTTCCCTCGTAAGCCGCGCGCCTCAGTTTCCCCTCCAGGCTCGGGTATCCCCCATTCTCCCCACGTGTGCAGGACACCTGAGTGACACGACCTTCTCGGGACGCGAACGTAGCGCCGAGCCCCAGCGCCAGCGGCTCCCCGGCTCTGCACGAAGCGGACGCTGGGCGAATGAATCGACGCCCCCTGGAGACGCGATGCCCCGGGCTCGGGTCGGCCCGCCCGGGTTCAAATCTGCTCTCGGTCCCGCTTCCTGGGACCGCGGAAGAGTTTCCAGGCCCTGGCCTTGCAGCGGGGACACCACGAGATCCGCCAGGGCGACACCGGGGTGACTCGCGCAGCTCGGCGCCCAG